TATTCCTAAAGGAGACTTTAACTTTTACCAAAGTAATTTTTGGTAAGGTACTTGTACTTTTACTCAAGTAATATTCCTAAAGGAGACTTTAACTTTTACCAAAGTAATTTTTGGTAAGGTACTTGTACTTTTACTCAAGTAATATTCCTAAAGGAGACTTTAACTTTTACCAAAGTAATTTTTGGTAAGGTACTTGTACTTTTACTCAAGTAATATTCCTAAAGGAGACTTTAACTTTTACCAAAGTAATTTTTGGTAAGATACTTGTACTTTTACTCAAGTATCACTTTGTGGTACTTTATACAACACTGCAACAAACTTATCAAGTCCAGTCACGTCTTTTAACTTAATTATACATGCTTCCTTCCAAAGTGAGAATATGAACATTTACAGTTTAAAATACCAAAAATAAAAGTACTTACTGGTACTTCTTTTGCTGGGCCTACATATATTACACTGAAATTTTCATTTTCACCTGCCTGTAATAAATTATGTAATAATCAGTGGTGGACACAGCTGACCAAAAAGTAAAGTTTACTAAGTATCACTTTGTAGTACTTTATAAAACACTTCCTTCCAGTTGAACACTGGTGGGACACAAACATGTTGTTAGATTTCTATTGGTTAATTTGATGGTGGGTGGGGTCATCTGTAGCAAATCGGCCAATCAAAACCAGACTTAGAGCTCTGTCTAACTTGTGATACTTCCAGTTTAACCCTTTCAGAATAAAAGCATTTCTTTGATTTTGTACTTTTATAAATAGTTTGAAGTTAGTCACACAACAAAATCTTTACTTATTTAATTCATAGTAATTTTTTGTATTTTGTTATTTAAGTATTGTTAAATGCTATTTTATTTCTTTTTGACAATTTTAGTTTGAAGGTTAGCTGCTCAAGATGCTACATGCTAACACACACAGTGCCCGACACGTCCAGCTGTGTTTGTAAGAGAGGCTAGTTTGTATTTAATTTGTGATAAATGACATTTTAAAAGAAGTTTTGTACTCGTGAATGATTTTTGGACTTAAAATCAGAGGTTTATAGTAACTAAGTACATTTACTTTGTTACAGTACTTAAGTAGTTTTTTTGAGGATTTGTAATTTTACCAATAATTTTTTTACTTTTATTTTGTTACATTTTAAAGCTAAAAATGATACTTTTACTTCTTTACTTTAAAATGTAACACCTAGTTACTCGTTACTAAATTCAATCTGTTTGAACTCATCATGAAAAATGTTTCTGCTCTAAAAAAATAAAGAGTTGAATTTACTCAACAAAGTCCTGTCAGCTGGTTCCACTGAGCCTAGTTGAGTAAACTGAGCAAAGAATATAAATATATTGATCAATTTACTCAACCTGGTTTAGTGGAACCAGTTTGGTTCAGTAAATTCAACAGTTTACTTATTAGAGAGTGCGTAAAAGTACTTTTACTTTCTCAATTTTTGTGAAGTTTTATGACTTTTACTTGAGTAGTTTTCTCATCAGTGAAATTTATTTTTAACAGTCATTTTCTGTTCATGTAATTTTACTTTTACTTAGTTTTTTTAAGTACTTTATCTGCTTAAAATTAGCTGAACCTTATTTAGCTGAACCTAATTTAGCAGAAGTTAATTGATCTGCTAACGGTTTCTGGAGTTAGCAAATAAAAGCTAATAGCCTAAATGAGAAGCCAGTAGCAGATTAGCAGGACTCTGCTGGTCAACAGACGATGTCATAAAAACACTTAGCCAGGTTACACACTTACTGTTTGTTGTAAGGGTCCTTCTCCCTGAGTTTCTCCAACACATGTATTTCCAGCTGGGCTGCTTCTCTGTATTTATCCAAACTTTTAATTATCTTCAGAGCGACTCTCCTTCCTTCTCTGTGTGATCAAACACTGTGTTTAAAAATAAATAAATAACCACATTTGGCTCTACTTCTAAACGATAATAAATATTTTGTACCTGCCATGGTCCAAACACTGCACCACTTTGCCGAACGTCCCCTCACCCAAAGTGTCGACGATTTCATCTGGAAATACAGCGGTCATTACAAATTTCAGATGAGACATGGATGGAGATAAGTGAGACACAAACAACTACAGCAAATTCAAGATCACTGAGGGAGTTTGGAAAAACACTGGGCCTCATGCAAGAACATGTTCGTATTCTTATCCTAAATTTCTCTTACTTTTGTTCGTACAAAGGGTTCGTACGAACATGTCACGTCAGATTCAACAAACTCTTCTATCTTCAGGAAAAGTGTGTAAATGAGCTGCGTAAATTGCACTAAGTCCCAGCATGACCA